TTTTGTATCATAAAACTCAGTGTAAATGTTTCTCCAGATTTCAGGTTATCTCAGTCTCTGGTCTAATTCTATACAATTAGTAACAGAGAGGTGATAAATGTCTTTATAATATTCTTTTTGAAAATGAAAAAAAAAATGTTCAATTTAGTTTGGTCATCCCTACCCTGGCAATTTTTTCAATATTCACTATGGAAGGGAAAAGAGGCAGCAAATAGCAGCTACTCAGAGAAATCCCACACAGTAAATTACTCTTTAGAAAAATGTACAGAAGCTGCAAACCCTTAATTAATAAGTAACACAAGCATGTAAAAGATTAAAAAGAAAACAGAACAGTCTTTAAAACATTAAGGTCACATGGAGTACATATTCACTTTTTTAAAACAAAAGTGCTCTGGGGAAACATACATGAAATATAAAAAATGTTTATATTTATATAAAAGCCCAAGCATTAAGAACAAAATGCAAATGTTCTATAGAAACCTCAAACTATTTAATTTTATTGATAATGTGAGTATTACATATTATTGTAGGTCAATTGTTATGGTAAAATGGCTAGTGGAGCACTGAGACAATGCTCTCAAAAAAAAACTGCCTTGCCTTTTCTTGTTAGACAAGTATTATTGCAAATATTGCTAGATTATGAATCCCAGCCTTGCTTCTATCTGCATCCAATATGTTTGAATATAAGGCTGATACAAATGGAGCAAAACATGCAAAAATATCATTGTGGCTAAATATTTATTAAAGTAATACCTTTTATTATCTATGCATTTAAGTCACTATCTTAATACTACATTTATTTATTTAATGTATATGCTGCCTGTCTTACTAGTCAAACTCTGGACAGTTTACAGTGGCAAAAAGAATATAAAAGCACTAAATTAACAATTACATAAAGAGCACAAGAGCATGGATGGTACAGGGGTGGGTTTTTGTTTCTTACTAAATCACCTGCAGAGGTGAGATGGTTCCTCAGATAACCTAATCTCATGCCATGAAGAGTTTTAAAAGTGATAACCAATACACTGAACTGGTCTCAGAAGCAAACCAGCAACTAATAAAGCTTGTATAACAGTGATGTTATAGGGGTCATGCAAGAGGCCTCCAGTATTGTCCATGCCAGTGCATTCTGTACCAATTGTAACTTCTGAATACTCTTCAAGGGTAGTTCTGTGTAGAGCGCATTCCAATAATCCAATTATTATCCTATTACGTCTGGGCAATAGATGTTCCTTCACAGAATTTGGACTATTTGACAATTACATTGCATAGTGAGGTAAGGGTGATAGAGAATACAACAAAAAGAATAGCCATGGACTTAAGTATTTGGAAAATGTATAAAATTCCAAGGCAACAATACAAAACATAATGCTGCCTGTCCCATGAATTCATGCTATTCCTACATATTAGGGATATATAAGGAATATAAACCATATGCTAAATAAACTAGGAACGTATAGTGGGCCATGATTAAAAACAACCAATATTAGACATGACTGGTTGCCAAGCACCTGGACAGCAGTTATGTGACTATGGGGCACTCTATAATGGCCGAAATCTCAAGGATTGGTCATAATTACCACTGGTTCAGTACTGTTGCAAGTTTGAATATTTGCTAAGCAAGTAGTCATTAAATGAGGATTACCTGTATTGAGCTCAATAAGGGATGTTATTATTGAATAAGATGCTAAATGCCTTTACTTTATCCAAACAGAATTTGTTATAATTCAAGAAGTCTAAAGAGTATTGTTGATTTAGAAAAGGCCAGACTATTTGTCCAAAATTGCCTACTCTTGAAAAGTGATTCTTCAGATTCTCGAAGTAAAATCTTTTCCATTATGTATTCTTTTAAACTGATGCCAGAGAACTGAACCTAACCTTTTTGCATGCTGAAGATATTATCTATCAGTTATAGTTCATATCCCCTCTAACACATTGATTTTCACTTGCATTATAATTCTCGGTCTAGCAGTTACAATTCCAGAAGTGAAAGTGATTGGTTATTTTATTTGCAGCTAGAAAATAGTATAACACAAAAACACCTATTCCAGGTAGAACCATGTTATCCAGAAAGGGGTGGTTAAAGAGTACCACTTCCAAATGAGATCAGAACAGGAGAACAAGAATGAGCTGCTGCTCTATGTCCTTTGCAATACAACAATCTGCTTCCTGAAATCTGAATGGTGTCCTCCCTGATAAACTTCCTGAGAACTCTGAAGTCAAAACTCTTTCACACAGCTTTTATTGTCTAACTAGAAGGTAACATTAAGGAACACAGAGTTTTAGTAAAGGTAGATCATGTGTGCATGTTACTATTTATGGTTTTATAACTCTGTAAACTGTAAGTGTACTGTCAAATACTCTTAATATATCAGTGATAGAAATACTTTTTATATTATTATATAGTGTATACACATACATATAATTATGTATTAATTAATCATTAAGCAACTAACCCATGGGCAATTTGTTTTTAATAAGTGTAAATTTTACACTAAAATATACAATTATTCTAAAACAGTTTTAAAGAGGTTTTCAGCAATTTTTTCTATATGAGGAAGAAATTAATCATATAATCCAATGTGCAATGTATTTTCAAATATTTCAAGTGTCATCACATAGAATATGAAATATTTTCTCCAAGTCTTCTAATTTTATTAATACTATTTTATTTACCATATTGTAGTATATTACTGCACCCAAATTGCTTTTCTTTAAATTCTCTACCACTGATCACACAAATTTTCTGATTTTATGTATTATTTTATTGATTACATTTGCATATAAAACAATTCTGTAGATAAAAGCATGTTTGTTCTTTAAATAATGCATACACTTATAGATGGGTCATTTTCTTGTTTTCATAGGAATTCAACTTGCACTAAATTAGTGAAAATCTATGCAGCTCAGTAATAGAAATGGCTAGGAATGGCTCTCCACATAAAGATCTTTTCAACAAACTTGGACTTTGTTGGAAGTAAAACTAGTACTTCCTGAGGGCAAAGCCTGTGAACTTTTCCACTTAGGGACAGCTCCTCACTAAAGAGGGGAGAATGTAACATTCTAAAAGAGATTTTAAAAGAGATACACTGTGAAGTGTATTAAATTTTGGCAAAGACATTTTTAGTGCTAATTTTTCTCCCCTCTGAAAAAAGTGGCTTGCGAGTAATATTATAGTACAATGTTAACATTTAGCCACTTGGCCAACAGTATTTAAAATAAAATTAGTATGGAATCAATATAAATGTTTACCCCCCCCCTCGTAAGTCGGCATTCCCAGAAAAAAAAAGTAGCTCATGTTCATTAGACAGTTTTCAGAAACTACTTTATCTCTGCAAATTCCCATTAACACCAGAAAAAGACATATCTAGAGTGCAAACTTGGCCTTAATGAAACATGAATTACAGATTACGATCTGTGACTGAATGACAGATTATGATCTGTGAATCGTCTTTACTCATCTAATCTCATCAGAAACAAAAAACTGGATTTTCCATCCAGACCACTATACTATTATAATCTTTATTGATCTTACAGTGGGCAAGGCATTTGCAAATCTGTAGTCAACTACTTGATAATAAGTTTGCCCTTTCTGTTATAATGGGAAAAAACTTTAGCAAAACCAATTTCTGCCAATAAACAAAAACCCTTAAAGGAAACAGAACATATCCAAGGTGCTTTATTCATGATTGTATTTTTTGTAATGATTCGGAAGAGGAAAAGTTTGACTGCCAATCCATCTGGAATACGGATTAATTATTTAGTAATTTAAATGTCTGTCAGCTCAGAAATAAGAAGAGGCCAAATTTAAATGAAGACTATTTCAATATAAAATACCATTGTACAGATTTTATACCAAAACTTGCTAAGCCAAGACATAGCAGCATAAAGTCTCCTAATAAGCTATATGAGAACTACCAACATTTCAGGGATTATCACAGTTGTTTTTTTCCCCCACTAAAATATATTTTCAGGGGAATTTTGTATATGCTCTTGCAAATCTACTGCTCAAATGGGAACAGAATTCAGAGCACTATTTTCATTTCAGAGTTCATTTCCTGAAAGTTCAGAAACTATTCAGGTATAAATTTATTCTAGCTTTCTATGACTAGCTGAACTTTTCCACACAAAAAATTGCAACATCTCCATTGCTGACACACTCTTATTGAAAACCACAGAGCACTTCCGGCATACTCTGAAATAATAATACCTGTTGGAAAAAGGAAGTGGACGAGAAAATAATCTCTTAACATAGCAATGACTGAAGAGCTCCCCAGCAAAGCTAAAACAGCATCTGCCTGAAACAAGCCACAAGGGTGAAAGATTCGTTTGGAAGTCTCCTAGCCAGGTTTCTTTCTTTCAGCAAAGCCGCAGCGGATCCAATGGGCCGAGTCTAGTCAACAGGCTCTACCTCCCTTCCTGTTGCTTGGATTCACAGCCTTCACCTGTACCCAGTATTTATCCCATTCTCACGAGCTCAAAAAAAAAAGACCGCTGAAGTGTTCTCCTTGGAGACCAAAGGCGTGCATCTTTTTGTCGCCCCCCCCCATTTGTCCCTTTTCAGTATAAATTTAGCCAAAGCTCTTAGGGGTTGGTTTTCCACCCCCGCCTCAACAATACAGAGCCGTGAGGAAGAATACAGGGGAAAAAGGAAGCAAGCAGCTGTTCCGTGGGAACGGCCCCAGCCAGGGACCTTCTGGTCTCTCCAAATTCGAAGTAAGCCAGCAACGGAAAGGAAATAAAAAAAAAAAGGGGGGGGGAACTGGCAGTCTTCTTGCATCATCACGCCTCCCACTTGGAGCAGCCCGCTTCTCCTCCGGCAGATGGAAGTCACCCCCTTCTGCCCTGAACCCCCTTCCTGAGAGGTCAATGCAACTGGCCGCCCGGGACGCGCGTAGGCAAGCCCTCCCCCAGGCGCCCCCACAGGATTGGCCGGGCCTCCCCCCGAGGCAGTCAGGCCCAGCCAGCAGGGCGAAGCCTCCTTCCCGTCCGCCACTTACCACGCATTTCTTGCCGAGGAAGCCGAAGAGGCTCTCGTTCTCCTGCGGGGTGAGCAGCATGGAGCCCACGTTGGAGACCCTCCGCGGCGGCGGGTGCTGCTGCTGCTGCTGCTGGCTGTTGTTCATAGCGGCCGCCACCGGCGCCCGGCCGGGACTGCCAACCCCTCCGCCGGCTTCGCAGCTGGCTCTGGCTCGTCTGGGGGTCAGGCCCCGCGTCCCCTGGAGGGTGGCGGCCAGCAGCCTGTCTCCCCGCGCTATTGCAGCAACATCGGGGCGGCGACCTGAGGGGGCGCCGCGCCGGACCGAGGACCAACTCCTGAGGGGCTCCTGCGAGCGAGCGGAGCGGCCGGAAAGTCCCGCTCCTTGTCCTCTGCGCGCCTTCCGCCGCTCTCCCGACAGGCACTAAACTTCCAACTTCTCCCCGGCGCCGGCCGTGCAATCCAACATGGCAGGGAGCGGAGGCGCGGGCGAGACCAAACGCCGCGGAGGGATAGGGGAGGACGCGGGGTCGAGACGCCCCAGGCTGCCCGGCCCGCGTCGCCGCTTCTCGGCCCGGCGCCCCCCTGGTTGGACTCTCTTCTCCGCCGGTCCGGAGAGCGTTGGCGGGGCGGCCTGCGGCTGAGCTTCAGCGCAAGTCCCAGTGGCGAGCACAGGAGTCGTGCTTTCTGTGGCCTCCCCCGTTAAATACCGGGCGAGCCAGGCCGGGCTGATTCCCCGGCCTTGTCATCCAGGAAGTCTGGATATTGGCGGTGGCGGAAGGCGGAGGAAGCGAGTGGAGATGCCGCGGGCTTGCAGAGGGGACGCGCCCCGCGATTTCTGCAATTCTATCACACACAACCTTGGGGCTGGTGGCGCGAAACCGGGGGTGTGCGCTCTTGTCACCTGCCTGCCCCTGGCTTAAAGCCCCCGACGACCCTTCAGACGTAATTGTGCCTCTAGACTGAAAAGCTTTGCTGTTATAAATCCGACGTTTCCTTTAATTTCTACAAAAGAGTTTGCGTACGCTATGTGGGTCCTTCGATAATGGATGTTGGGCTTTGCTCGCTTCGAGGCTTGGCGACGTCTAGCTCAAGGGTTAAGGTCCTAAATCATGGTTAAACGAGATTAAAATGCCTTAAAAATGTGGGAACTCGGATCGCGTATTTCCAAATAGAGCAGCGTTTCTCAACCCTGACAAGTTGAAGGTGTGCGGACTTCAATTCCCGACATGCTGGTTAGGGAATTCTGGGAATTGAAGTCTACGGATGTTTGAATTTCCAAGATTGAGAAACGTGATGTTGAGGTTCTAAAGTTGCAAACGAACGGGGGAACTTGTACACTGAACTGAGATAATTGTTTTGTTGTAAGTCTCATCCTTGGCTTTATGGAATTCCTGGATTTTTATCTGGATGCATCTTCATGTACTTGTGAGCATTGCTTGCATCTGGCTGAGGAATTCTGGGAGTTGAAGTCCATGAGTCATAAAAGGGCCGAGTTTGAAGACCCCTGGTTTTAATCATATAAATCACAGATGTGGCCTGTTCTGCATTGAAAAAAAACCAATCTTTGAAGATACTCATTTTTGGAAGGAAACATTGGTAGTAATCTCAAACTTCAACCACGTTGAATCTGCAGTACTGACAAATGATAAAAACTAATTGGATCTAATATTTTGCATTGCTCATAAAATGGTCAGGATTATTACAGGATGATTATTACAATCTTCAAAATTCTATAGCTAATAAAAACTGTCACTATGCACAGACTACTGTAAAAATCAGAAAGCCAACATCTCATGATACAGAGAGAGATTCAGGGAACAAATCCATACAGTTTCAATTTTTTGATGAGCCACAAAAACTAATATATGTTTTATGATACAGCTGTGCTTTTTTAAAAAAGAAGACACAAAATGCAGTCTATTGCAGTTTATAAATGTTTATAACATTTGCCATGGCACACAAACCTAAAAGCAGTGATTCTCCTTTATGCATAAGGGTCCACCAAGAACCATTTAGTTATAGTGCATGTCCATGATGATAGAATTAATCACACTCAAAAAACTGTTAAATTATATGTGAGGGGTGATCTGAAAGAAGGTTTCACATATCTTCATGTAACAGTTGTGATAATTTAATAATAATAATAATAATAAAGTTGGAAGGGACCTTGGAGGTCATCGAGTCCAACCCCCTGCTCAGGCAGGAACCCTACACCATTTCAGACAAATGGCTGTCCAGGCTCTTCTTAAAAATTTCAAGTGTTGGAGCATTCACCGCTTTTGGAGGCAGGTTGTTCCATTGGTTAATTGTTCTAACTGTCAGGAAGTTTCTCCTTAGTTCTAAGTTGCTTCTCTCTTTGATCAGTTTCCATCCATTGCTTCTCGTCCTGCCTTCAGGCGCCTTGGAGAATAGCTTGACTCCCTCTTCTTTGTGCAGCCCCTGAGATATTGGAACACTGCTATCATGTCCCCCCTCGTCCTTCTCTTCGTTAAACTAGACATACCCAATTCCAGCAACCGTTCCTTATATGTTTTAGCCTCCAGTCCCCTAATCATCTTTGTTGCTCTTCTCTGTACTCTTTCTAGAGTCTCAGCATCTTTTTTACATCGTGGTGACCAAAACTGGATGCAG